AAATGGTAGAAAATGAATATTTATGTGCTCCTGGCGGCCTGTCATGCGGCCCTTTGATGGCTTGCCAAAACTCAGTAAGTGGCCCTCTGCCCGAGATAGACAGACGTGATTTGTTAAAACTGTTAGTAACATTTAACTTTAAATATGAGCCATGCTGCAAAGTTTTGATCACAATTTTGGTTTGGATTGATCTCTATCAAATGTCATCTTGTAGTGTGAATTCCACAGAAGAAAATGGTATATTGCCTGAATAGCGGTGGTCCTCACGGACTACCTTTCCTTCTGTTGAAGGCGGTGAGAAAATACTACTGCTGACTTGAATGGAAAGAGCTAGGGCAACAATGTACAGGCACCCTCAAAAGCCAGTGTTTTCCAGCAATTACTCTTCTACCGCATATCAGGAAAGTGTGTGTTGTTTTTCTTTTCCAGATCAAGAGAAATAACCACTGTAATTTGACCTTTTATTACAGACAGGCACCATCAGCTGCTGCCAACTTGGCATTTTATAATCAGTGCTGCTTTTGTAGCTGTTGTATTTGAGATTCAGCTTGGTGACAAGCATCAGATTTATCACGAAACATGTCTTGTGACAAACATTAGAAGTGTGTTCCTTCTCTCCCCCCGCCTTGCTTTGCTGCTTATTCTGCAATCGGCTTAGAGGTGAAGGGATGCCTGCCCTGTGACGGGTGCTAGCATTTTGATTTTAAAGAAGAAAAAAATACTGTTATCGGGGCATTAAGTTACCTGACTTCTCTCTGTTGTAATACATGCAGCTTTTGCGCAATGGGCTCTCTAGAAAACCCTGCTGACTGTTTAGCCTTCGTAGAACATGCCCGGATTCTCATCTCACCATTTTCTTTTACTGCTCAATTAAAACGACCCCCAAGCTGTTCCCCAGCATAGTGCTTTCACTTATAAGAAGCTTGCAGTTCAAAGAAGAGGTATGACTTAAGCTGTCTGGCTCTAGCAGATAAGCTTATGCTAGCAAAGATCCCCTCTCTCTTGCTCCAGTCTCTCATTACATATGGTCTTCTCCTGAATTTCAGGAACTGATCAGATCTCTCCTGAAAACTCCAGACATGTCTAGCTTTTGTTTTCCCCAAAACGTGGACACCTTACTTCCCTTGTCCATTCTTGGTGAGCTGCTTCTAGACCTCCAGGAGCCAGCGTCTGGCATACCAGTCTTCTTTCTATTTGTCACCCACCTTTTCTCCTACATTAGCATATCAATGGCTCGGCACACTCTGCCCTGACATCATTAGCATTTTGACTACCTGTCTCTCTTCTTTAACCCAGGGATTGAAATATTGTCATGCTTTTAGCTGATGTGATAAAACATTACAGAACATTTCATAAATCCTCCAGTGATGTGTCAGAGGAGAAGCTTGATCCAATAGTGGGTTTTGAAAAGTGGATGCTATATAGATAGTTAAATATCTCCTCTTTGCTTCCCTGCAACCTTTGCTTCACAATTTGAGGAGGCAAGCCCTACAAATTTGTCTCTCCTTGTATTTTAGTATAAAGTTCCTCTAAGAAATAGGAGAAAACTGAAAAATATGCCTTTGGTGTTGGCGTTCAGATGCCTTCAGTGGGAAAACAGCTACGCAGTTCACAAGAGCTGAGGTAGCAATATTACAAAATAAACTGGTTTCAGATGCTTGAAAGTTTGGTGATCAGCCAGCCAATGAATACTCGACTACGAAGTTTGAGACTTTGAAATATTTCTTACCTAAAAATGGGATGATAAGTGAAGTTCAGTTTTTTGAGAAACTGTCCTCTGAGTTTAAAAAAATATATACAGATCTGGCCAAATTTTTGTTTCGGTGAGTTGAAATATATCATTTTGATTTCAACCATTTAAAAAATGGTTTAAGACTTTTGTATCGAAATTTTAGTTCACGCTGAAGCTATTTCAACTCAACAGGCAGAATTCTTCATTCAAAGGATGAGACGTTTAGACAGTGTTGTTTTGGTTTCTTAAATTGAAATCAGGAGGTTCATTTAAAAAACACATGGTTTTGCTTTGGGCGACTTGGCAATTTCCACCAACTTCTAATTCGAGGAATCTTTTCCTGGAGGCAAAACTGCCTGCCACCGTTTTTTTTTTTTTTTACACTGGCTTCTGGAGCATGCGGTACTGCCAGGTGTTGGGGGCTCGATGCTGGATGAGATGGACTGTTGAGCTGAGACAGCCTGGCAGGTAGTTCCTGTGTTGCTTACTTTTTATACTGTAGGGTTCAACGCTGGGTGCTGTGAGTGATGCCAGGCCAAATGGTTTATGCCTTTATTTTCAGAAGCACTAAGTCATGGTATTTTTTAAGTGTTCAATGTGTTGAAGAGCCAGTGTCACAGAACAAGCGAGTCGGAGCCCCCCTGTATTCATTGCGTATATTATGGAATTACCTAGTTAATTGCACAATTAATTTAGATTGGCTACCCATGCAAATTAACCATCGCACCTTAAAAAGGTCCAACCAGCTATAAAGTTAGAGCTGGAAAATGTGTAATACCTTAATATTTGCTTTCTATCCAGGTTAATTCGAGTGTGTAGCATAGCAGTGCCCCCACGGCTGGGAGTCTCATCAGCTGATGGGGCTCCCAGCCACCGGGGTGCACCATTTGCTCCCACGGCTGGGAGGACCCCCAGCTGCAGCAGCATCCCATATGCTGCCCCAGCTGTAAGTCCCGCAGCTGATGATGCTGTGAGCTGCGGCAGCCCTCCATGGGCTGCCGCGGCTGGGAGTCCTGCCAGTGGGGTGCTGCCATGGCTGGGAGTCTCATCAGCTGCAGGACTCGCAGCCATAGGAGCTTGCTATTGGTATGCTGGTGTACGGGGAGCCCAGGATCACAAACCTGGGCTCCCCCTCCACTGACCATAAGGTATGACAGGATCTGATGCAGGAGCCCACGATCATGCTGCCTGCCATGCACATGTGGCATGGTAGGAGGTGTGATTGTATGGATCACGCATCAGATCCTTTCATGCCTTTACCTGACTGTCTAGAGGGGCCCAGAGGCACACGGTAAGTGTTGTAACACAGGCCTTTCACTTATTCTGTGCCTCTGCTTCCACTTCAGTAAGGTGGTTATATTTACCTGTCAGGGGAACAAGGTTTGATGAACTAATTTGAGTTTCCCGTGAGGTCCTCCTGTTGTGTTGGAGGCATTCCATTAGAAGACGCCTTTATATATGATTCAACAGGATGACTTAACCGGACAGTAATAACCACAGAATTATCTTTCATCTTTTCCCATGCCGTAGTCTTCCCATAACCACACACAGATAGGGCTGCCTTTTATGCTTTAGCAAAATTTCTTTGTAAGAAGGATTCATGGCAATTTCATTAAAGCAAACTCAAAACACTATGTTTCCATGGAAACCACAATTGAACATATTCTCTTCAAAGCTCATCTCCTATCATTTTGTGCTAGAATTTAATTGCTTTCCCTGGGTCAATTGCATCAGAGATTCTTGTGCCATCTATGGTTGAGATGCTCAAGCTTAAATCAAAATAACCCCAAGTCTCTGAAACGGCTTCTGGCAGGCTGTGATTCCTTCACATTTAACTCTGTCCATCTTAATCAGTTCTGATAACAAGCAGAAAGTTTAGGTTTCAGATATATTTTCTGTGAGCAGATTTGTTGTGTCTTGGAAAACTGGGTGAAGTGGTGGCTTAACTAAAGTCAGTGGCAGAACTTCCATTGATTTCTATAGGTCTGGAAAGCCAAGAGTCATTTTTTTGGAGCAGTCCTGCTACTGCTTCTCTCTGTTTAAGTCTGCAAAAATATGTCTGTTAGCACCAATGTGTACAAATCAAGGAGGTGGATGTCTACTACCTTCTTTTTTTTTTTTTTT